CCTGGACTGCTGAAGTTCATTGAAAGTTGTCTCTGGAGAAACTGTGCACCAAGCAAGTGGTGTTAATCAGTGTTAGGGAAAAGATAAAAGTATTTTCAAACACCTACAGGGACTTGGTGGGTGCTCTCTAATGTTGAAATTAATCTCGTCTAAATGTATTCATCTGTGAGCAATGAGAAAACTGTTGTCTGCTGTGCTCCTTGAGATTTAGCTATTTCTAAACACTGATGTCTTTCTTCATGCTTCCCATACAAGTTGAGAGTATGTCCTGAATACTGATGTCAAGTGGTACAACTTTCTGAACATAAGCCTCTTTTATAAAGCTTTAATTATTCTGAACTCAGAATCTCTAGCCTTAGATACTGCCATAACTTTTTAGACATAAGTTTAGGTTTGCATGATGCAGTTGAGGGGAGAGAGGGAGAGTATTCTGGGCATCTCTTGGTTTACACCATCGTGGAGCGACAGCTGTACTCAGGCATCTCCACGATGCATCCACTTTTGAGCTGAGGCTGGTTTGGGAAGCTGTGCCCATGCCAGTAGCAGTAGCACAGGTGGGGCTGGTGTTAGCCCAGAGGAAGCAAACGATACAACAGTGATGTTGTTGGACAGGAAGGTCCAGATTTGTCTGGATGTCTCAGTGGTCTGTTTTGCTAGAGAATGGGTGACCCAGGCAGGCAAGATGACAAGGGACATAAGGAAGGATTTTCTGGTTTGGAAATTCTACAGTGAAACTTTGAAACAATTGGCTTTTATTGAAGGCAGTACGAAGCCCAGGGGAGCCAGATTTCCACTTACCCTTGTCACAGACTTTCTGTGTAGCGTGAGTTGACCATGTAAGCTATCTCACTGCATACTCCCTACTTCACTGCCTTAACTCTTGACACATGAAAGCATTTTACTAGCTCTTGTACTATCCACAACCTGAAGATCTACAGTTCCTCCAAAACTTGCTACTTCTGGCCCCCTCCAAGCTAGCATGTGTGCAAAACTGCTTGTACACCTTGACTTGAAATTAAACTATATTAGATAGGTTACATGGATGCACGCTTGCATACAAAATAACGCAGTGTAACTAGAAGACTGTGCCCCTAAAATGTATACATATTCATCAGTTAGTCATGTAATGAAGTTTATTTTTATCTAATAGATGGGTAAGACAAAAGTAAATTGTATGTTTTAATCAAGGGTGAGACAATTATCTGGGCAGTTGACTTTTGCATGTTGTCTCTGAATTTCCCTTGGGGTGGTTCTTTTATGTGTTTAAATGAAAGGTGAGATAGGTTTACATTTTTATCTACAGAGTTGAAAAAGTACAGGGGGAGATTATATATTGCAGTTCATCTGAAGTAAATATCAAATATGCTGGGTACTAATGAGCATTCCATTCTTGTGTCCAGGAAAATGCACACTTCTTTGTTGCAGATATGATTATAGCATCACTAGAAAAAATGAAATGTAATATCTTAAGTCAACAAGCGGAATCCTGGGGTGTGGAAGAAACAAGCGGATCAGATAGCAGCTATCACACTGATTTGGAGTTATATTCTTACCCTGGAGTAAAGAAGTCTGATTCTTCTGTTACCTCTTCAGACAGTGGTTATGAAGGCAAGTTACTTAGTCTAGAATGTAACCTTGTCTGAAAGCCTTTGACATTTGTTTTTGTGCAAGAAAATACTAAATTTATTGGGGCACTGCATGGAACCAAATCCTCTGTTACCTTCTTTGAGTCTCTGGAGAGCTGTACCCCTCAAGGATCATCATACCACAAGCGTTTTTCCTGTGGGTCAAATACTTCCTTTTGAATGCTCACATCGATGTTTTATTTATTAGAATTAAATTATTTCATACATGTAAAAGAAAATGTAAGGATCAAGTGCTACATACCAAGCATGACTCTCCAAAAAGAGTGACTGTAGTTGGCTAATTTTCTTTCTGCTTAAATCCTTTTTTTTTTTTTTTTTTTTTTTTTTTTTTAAGGATTTGCAGCCTAGCTTTTTAATTCTGTGCTTGCTTCTGATGTATGCAGATCAGGCCATG